TTAAATATTAGGTATTTAATATTTTATATTCAATAAATTTTTTGTAAGTATACCACTATATATAATTGCAAATGTTCAATTTGGCTAAGATATTTTTTACACATTAATGCGTGTAATAATAACCAATATTTTTGTACAATTGATCTTAGAAGTATCAGCAAATGTTATGCTAAAAACAAAAATTGTGATTTAATTCTTTAAATGCTTATAAGCACATTTTAGTAAATAAAAATATAGAAGTGATAAATTTTTTTTTTAGTAAATTAAAATGCAAATAAAATAGTGAATATTTAATTTTTTATCCATATAGTAATAAAGATTCTAAGTTCTTATAAAGATTTAAAAAAAAAAAACAGTAAATGAAAATGTAAAAACGGTGATAAATAAATAAGTAAATTAAAATGCAAAAAATATTAAAATTTTAATTTTGTATCCAGAACTTTCGGCACTACAAAATGAATACAAAATCATTTAGAAGTTTCCTAGCAGGACTACTTTTTATATACCCGCTTTAAATAGAAATGGCACCCTACAAAATATATGAAATTTTGTGAGCGTGGCAATCGGGATAAAAAATATAGAATGAGTGTCAAAACATTGTGAAATAATTTAAGAATTGTAAAATTACCTGCAAAATATTCAGCATTCACTATCACGGCACCGAACAATCCACGAAATCCTTTTTTCAAATTCTGAAAGTAAAAAAAAACATTTTACTTCCATAATGTAAATATATATTGTTGAGAATTGTGTTCTTTATAATTATAAATATAGTCATAAGTAAATTCATTTGAACGATGTATAATCCCGAGTAACGGTAAATATTGCGAAATATCTTGTACATCTGCAAGACAACCGTTAATAAAAGTTTACATGATAGCTCATGTACCCTCGGCGAGCTATCATAAAACTAGAAATATTGGAAATATTTTAAAAATGTAAAAATATAGGTTAGTTAGTCCTGAACTCTTGAACAAGTAACAACTAAAATATAATAAAGCGCTAAATAAATTTTTGTATCTAAATAAATTCTTTGATTTCACACACTTCCAGAAGAGCTACAAATGTTCCAATTCTCGTCGTTAAGTATTCCAAATAAACTATAATCTACTCAAGAAGTTATTAAAATTGGTTACATTTATTCATTAATTAGTAAATTCATTACTAACGTCTCTTCAATATATATATATATATATATATATATATATATATATATATATATATATATATATATATATATATATATATATATATATATATATATATATATATATATATATATATATATATATATTAAATACACATCTCACAAACATACCTTGTATACCATTCACTGGCATGCCTCAGCCAGCTTTTTGTAGCCTCTGAGATGGCAAACTTGGTTTCATTAGGTAAGTTCTTTAGAACAGTTTCTGAAATTATTCATATGTAAGTTTTATACATAATTTACAACATATCATAAACATAGGAACTATAAATTACCATTGATGATATCGCACAGCACAAGCTCGCAATACTTGTGCTTTCCTTTACCCCCTGCCCAGCTGAACTCTCCTAGCCAGGCCATCATCAAATATCAATTTAATCAATTGTACTGTGACAGATTTTAGCACATTTTCCACCTGTCCTAGCCAAATACAAAATCTAAAAATAAAGACTAGTTTATAATAAAGCTAACTAATAAACATAAATTTGGGTGAACATGTGATTACCAGTTGTGTTTTCACATCCTTGTTGTTTCTTAGACTATCCTCCACTTCTCGAAGTTCGTCATTGAGCACAGAGGAAACTTGTTTAAAATTTCCTTGATTTGGCCCATGTCACTACTCATGACAGCCTTAGGAGACTGGAAGGAATCCATTCTCAACATCATTTCCTTCACTTGCTCCTCAAGGCCCTCCATGGTTAATCGAACTTTAGTCATCTCCCTGATGAAAATTTCCTCGCCAATTGAATCTAGCAGGGTAGAAATGCCAGCATTATAAAATATATATTTGTACTAGTAACATAATATTTCAAATACCATGCAGTATACAAAAAGCTTTACGTACAATTATTATCTCTGTTCCGTCCAATTTGTCTGCAGCTTTTTTTCTGGAGAAGTAATCAATGTCTCCAAATCATTATTCATATTTTCAATTGGCTGTTCTGCACATATATTTATTCTTGTGCAACTTTCCTGTAGATTTGCAGAATCAGTAATAGCTGTTGCCTGGATATTAGCCTTTACATAGTAATTCACACGCCTTTGAAACTGCCTCTTTGAAATAAATTTAACACTTTTGAATACTTTTTTTTTGGCGCCATATTATATTAGAAGTTTTAAAATACTATATATTTTAGTGTGAACTCAAATTATAACTCTTAGATAGAGAACTAAACTGATAAAAATGTAAATTTATTTTTTTCAAGTATGATATAAATTATTTATTACACACTCAAATATACATTAATTATATAAAACACATGCAATTTCCACTATTATTAATCAAGTTTAGAGCATTTGGATTTTCAATATTATTTATTAATAACACCACATATATATTTAAACAGAACAAATGAAATTTTCACTAATAATACTCAATTACGCAACAACTATTAAAAGAATTCGACATATAGCGTCAGTAGCTTAATTGATGACGCCAAGCGACGCGACGGCGAAGAGAAAGGGACAAACATATACGTTTAGAGGTCTCAAGCCGTGCGCGTATGAGATCGACATGTCGTGAACCGTTCGTTCGTTCGTTATACCTGCTCGAGTCCTTTGGTTTTGAGACGTCCCGTTGCATATTCATAGGATATTCATAGGATATCGCGATATTGGGAGATTGTGAGGACAAGTGGGACATTCCCTGGCATGTCTTGTGCTGTCTGGGAAGGAGCTGAAAATTTAAAAGATCGAAGACTCGAAGAGCGTTGTTGAGTTATGCGCTTACCAACACATTTTGCGATCCATTTTTATATATAATATTTTATAAAACCTAATTTCTAACCCTACTCATAATCCTAATAAAAACATAATTATAACTATAATATTTATTATAAATCTAATAAAAAACTAGTTGGTTTGGTATTTAGCCTTGAGGCAAATTACATGAACTTCCCGATATGTGTAAATAATCGACTTGATCAAAAAAATGTGTAAATAATATACTTCATCAATCCTACTTTAAAAAAAAACGATAATAATTTTAGCAAAGTTTGACGAATTTTTAAAATTAAACTACTTGTTGTAATAATATAAGGCCGTAATATTACAGTAAGTTCTATAAGACCATGATGTATATCGCCAAAAAAAGTTCCATGAAAATCGGTTTACATTTTTTTTTTAACAGTTCATTACAAGAAAACGGCTCGGTAGATTTTCACCTAAAATTAATCAGCATCATTCCCAAGTGATATCTTTCGAACAGTTTTTGATTTTTCAAAATCGGTTCGGTAGGATGAGCTTAAATGTGACGAAAATTTAACACTTTTTATTCAACAGTTAATTACAAGAAAACGGCTCGGTAGATTTTCACCTAAAATTAATCAGCATCATTCCCAAATGATATCTTTCGAACAGTTTTTGATTTTTTAAAATCGGTTCAGTAGGATGAGCTTAAATGTGGACGAAAATTTAACACTTTTTTTCAACATTTAATTACAAGAAAACGGCTCGGTAGATTTTCACCTAAAATTAATCAGCATCATTCCCAAATGATATCTTTCGAACAGTTTTTGATTTTTCAAAATCGGTTCGGTAGGATGAGCTTAAATGTGGACGAAAAGTTCAACACTTTTTTTCAAATTACAAAGAAACGGCTTGGCAGATCGTTTCACAAAACTGACAAACGATAGTCCTCAACCGAAATACATCAAATGGCTTTTAAATTTCTAAAATCGGTTCAGGCGTTTTTGAGAAAACGTCGATCAAAAGTCTAATTTTGACAAATGCCAAAAAGACCATACTGATTTTTGCAAACTTTGACGAATTTTTAAAGCTGAACCAGTTGTCGTAGGGCCGTAATATTTTAGTATGACCTAGAAAACTATGGTATCTATCGTCAAAAAAATAATCATAAAAAATCGTCAAAATTTTTTTTTTAAAAACTTTATTACAAGAAAACGGTCCGGCCGATCTTTACCAAAACTAATCAGCACGATTCCCAACAATATCTATCGAACGGTTTTTGAATTTTCAGAATCGATTCAGAATTGCGGGCTAAAACGTGGACGAAAAATTTTTCACTTTTCTGCAATTTACAAAGAAACGGCCCGGCCGATCGCCGCACAAAACTCAGAGACGATAGTCCTCATCGAGATACATCAAATGGCTTTTAAATTTTTGAAATCGGTCCAACCGTTTTGGAGAAAACGTCGATTTACGGCAAAAAATCTGTTCACACACACACACACACACACATACACACACACACACACACACACACACACACACACATACTTTTTCCAAATTTGGTCTCATTCGATTCAGAATGGCTCGAAACGTCGAGAAAACATAAAATTAGCTATTCGGATTTTTTGATGAAAACATAAACTTCTCCTTCGGGAAGTTAATATATGTATTAGGATATAAAAAATCAAATTAATTATAATCTTATCAAAGCATAAAGAAAAATTATTAAAATAAATCTTATTTTAATTATTTTATTAAATTCATCATTTAAAAATTTAAACTAAAATAATCAAAAGAATTAAAAAATAACATTCTTCTTAATCGAAAAGAATAGTATACAGTTAACCCAATTCTAAAATAAAATAAAAAAAATTAATAAATTAAAATTAATTGTATCAAATGAATAATCATTCCTGAACATATAAATATAAAGCTTAAATAAAGTATGTATTAAAAGATGAAATAAAGCGAATTTACGTATATTAAAAGATAATCTTCTTATTATTGCTCGTTGCCTTGGCCGATGAGGCTTTCGTCGACTTACCCTAAATGGTCTTGTTCATAGATAAACACGTATATGGTCTTGTTCTTACCGACTGTCGTCTTAGGTTTCGCCGACGACTTTTTTAATGTGCCCGCTGCGGATGCAGACGCCCTTCGACTTTGCTGTCTTCGATTTTATTTTTATCGCTGGCTTCTTAGCGGTCCTAGCTTTTCCAGCCGAAACACCGCTTTCGCCGCCCCTCTGTCTAGCGGCAAGTTTATACGAACCCGAAGCACCGTTGCCTCTCGTATGAATGAGTGTTCCCATTTCAACTGCCGACATTAAATACTTTCTGATGTATGTTGATTTTTTCTCGGCGTCGATTTTATAATTGGCCGACATATATTTCTTGATCGCCTGCAGCGACGATCCTCCGCGTTTTTTCAGGCTTGCTATGGCGTCGTTGACCATTACGTATATGGGAGGATAGGGCGCCCTCACTCGTTTTTTCTTCGATGGGACGGCTTCACTCGACGATGCTGTAGCTGGCGCAGCTGGTTCCCACCGGCGACGCGGATAAAGCGTTATCTGACATTATAGTAAAACTAGCTGTAAGTGGAATTCTGTCTTAAGGCAATTAGGGCATCGTGCCTTAAGGCAAATTGCTGGAACTTCCCGTACCAAAAATTATTATTTTTTTAAAAACGATTGACATTTTTTTTGAGAAACTGTAAATTTGATAAAAAATTACTTTCTTTTGAAAAAAAAAAATTTTTTTTTGAGAAAAAAATTTTTTTTTTGGAAACAAAAAAATTCTTTGAAAAAGTTTTCTTCATTTTGACATATTTTGGAAATTCTGAACTTTTATTCAAAGCAATCGCACTGCTTGAACTGCATAGAGACAAAATGTCAAAGCTCGCAAGTGCCGCGCCGCCGTCTAAGCAAAGCATTGGTACGGAACCCATAGAAATGTAAAAAAAAAATATACTTATTGTTGAAATCTCTATAAAAAATATCTGATAATTTGAGGTGCATATGTCAAATGATCATTTTTAACCGCCGAATGGCATTTTTTTTTTTTTTGCTTTTTCATTAGATCTCGAAACCGCTAGACCTGCCTTCATGAAATTTGATCAATACATCTTGTCAATACAAGTCAAATGTTTTTTGAATTATTAAATTCGGACGCTCCGTTCTCTTAAAAACTGAATTACCGTTTTCGGCACTTTTGCCTTGTATCTTTGGAACGGCTGGAGCTGCCTTTGCCAAAACTAATCAGCACGTCTTCTTATCAATACGAATCGAATGCTTTTTGAATTATTCAAATCGGTTGATCCGTGTTCCCGAAATCGTCGACGAAAATTTGTATCCGCACATACATACATCCATTTTTTCTAAGGTATGCCAAAATGTTCAGAAACCTCTGAAACGTAAAGATATATAAAAAATTTCATTTTCGATTTTTTTGCGATTACTATAACTTGCCCTACGGGAAGTTAAAAATGGTTACGTTTGGCTACTTTTGATGTATTAAAACTATATTTGAAAAGTGTAGGAGCCCGAGGAGAAAACAATATATTTGAAAATTTACAAAAAATGAAAATTTTTGTAAAAAATTAAATCCAGCGCTTTTGTTGTTTAAATAATTCGCTGGATTCGCTTACAATGGATTCACATGATAGCTACATTCATCCCCAACATATCATCAAAAGCATGATTATTTCAATCGTTAGTTTTTCTAAAATATCGCTCATTATATTCAAGTAACATATCAACTCTCATACATACAAATCCAAAATCCAAAATATGAAATTTCTTATTGACTCAGGCTCCCCCAAAATCTTTCATTTTGTCCAGAAATCGCTAACAAATATTTCAAAAATTTTATTTACTCTGACCCTTGTACAATAAAAAACTGGCTTCAGCAACACACAAAGGAAATTTTGCATGTAATATTCCGAGTTTTAAAGAGTTCAAAGGGAATGAACCTGCCATTCCATCTTTTTAAATTTCATGAAACCTTCAATGGGTTATTAGGTATTGATAATCTTAAAAATTGAAGGCAATAATAGATTTAAATAATGGGTTGATAGTGTTACCCAATACTAATTAAACTTACATTATTTAAAAAGTCCGGCAAAAAACTTTTAGTCAACAGATACCAGAAAGATGCATTCAAAAATGTAAAGTCCCAGTTAACATTAAAGAAGGTGAAATTCTAATTACAAGGCAAAATTTTCCAATTGTTTCATTCCAGATACCGTAACATTAGCAAAAAACAATGAAGCCATAGTTGAAATTCCTAACCTAACCAGAAAACGAAATTAACTTAACATTAACCAAACCTTTACAAGTAGAACTCACAAATGAAATAGAATTTTATAATTTTTGTATCTGACTCAATGTAGATTTTTCCGACATTGAAAACCTAATACGGACTGACCACATGAATCTCGAAGAGAAAAATGCTATTTAAGAATTTGCAAAAAAATAAAGACACTTTTCATAACCAGATAGTTTAGAAGAAATTATTTATAGTTTAGTTATATTGATGACAATTATTTTAAGTGACATAAAAATATAAATAGATTTTAGCTAAAATGATTTAATTCATAATTCAATAATAAAATTAGATAATCTGAATTTTATGATTAATCCTATAAAGCATTTATACAGTACAGATTCACTACCATTTTCCATAGGCGATAGTAATCTTCACAAACATTACAATTTATTAAAAATTCAATATTATTATACGGATGATAATAATAATCTACTCCAAACTTATAAACATTATAAATTGTTTCCAATTCCAAATACCGAAAATAGAGTCATTATTCCACCTAAACCTTTCCTTAAAATTGGCAATAATAACTATCAATTTGATGATGCAGATTGCAGAGCAGTTTCAAAAATATATTTCTGCAATATTAAACATATCCTATCAAATAATGACGAATGCATAATAAAATTATTACAAGTAGACAACACTCACATCGAAACATGTAATGAGTTCAGGTTAACATTTCACACAATATCATAGAGCAAAAAATGATGCACACTATATTTTTAACTTCCCGAAGGAGAAGTTTATGTTTTCATCAAAAAACCGATTCGCTAATTTTATTTTCTCGACGTTTCAAGCCATTCTGATCGAATGAGACCAAATTTGGAAAAAGTATGTGTGTGTGTGTGTGTGTGTGTGTGTGTGTGTGTGTGGTGTGCGTGTGTGTGTGCGTGTGCACCAACAGATTTTTTGGCCGTAATCGCCGTTTTCTCAAAAACGGCTGGACCGATTTCAAAAATTAAAAGCCATTCGATGTATCTCGATGAGGACTATTGTTTTGTCAGTTTTGTGCGACGATCGGCCAAACCGTTTCTTCGTAAATAGCAGAGAAGTGAAAACTCTTTCGTCCACGTTTTAGCCCCAGTTATGAATCGATTTTGAAATTCAAAAACCGTTCGAAGATATTGGTTGGGAATCGTGCTGATTAGTTTTTGGTAGAGATCGGCCGGCCGTTTTCTTGTAATAAAGTTTTTAAAAAAAAAATTTCGACGATTTTTATGATTATTTTTTGACGATAGATACCATAGTCTTCTAGATCATACTAAAATATTACGGCCCTACGACACTGGTTCAGCTTTAAAAAATTCGTCAAAGTTTGCAAAAATCAGTATGGTCTTTTTGGCATTTGTCAAAATTAGACTTTTGATCGACGTTTTCTCAAAAACGCCTGAACCGATTTTAGAAATTTAAAAGCCATTTGATGTATTTCGGTGAGGACTATCGTTTGTCAGTTTTGTGCAACGATCTGCCAAGCCGTTTCTTTGTAATTTGAAAAAAAGTGTTGAACTTTTCGTCCACATTTAAGCTCATCCTACCGAACCGATTTTAAAAAATCAAAAACTGTTCGAAAGATATTTAGGGAATGATGCTGATTAATTTTAGGTGAAATCTACCGAGCCGTTTTCTTGTAATTAAATGTTGAAAAAAAGTGTTAAATTTTCGTCCACATTTAAGCTTATCCTACCGAACCGATTTTGAAAATCAAAAACTGTTCGAAAGATATCATTTGGGAATGATGCTGAAAGGCTGAAAATTTAAGCCTTTTTTCATGGAACTTTTTTTGGCGATATACATCATGGTCTTATAGAATTTACTGTAATATTACGGCCTTACAACAAGTAGTTTAATTTTTAAAAATTCGTCAAACTTTGCTAAAATTATTATCGTTTTTTTTAAAGTAGGATTGATGAAGTATATTATTTACACATTTTTTTTTGATAAGTCGATTATTTACACATATCGGGAAGTTCATGTATCAAGAATTGATATGTCTTGCAATCATCAAGAAGAAAACAAATTTATTAAAGGAAATTTATTTTGAAACTAACCCATCATGCAAATTCAGTTCGACAATAAAAATTACTATAATATGGAATCTTCAATAGAAGGAAAAGCTATAATTTTACCAAGATTTAATTTAAACTACAATATTTCAAAATCATCCGAACCAATTGCAATCAAGTCAATTCAAGTAAATGAGCTATCTAAAATTAAAGAAGATCAAGAACAATTCATAAACTCTATGCAAGGAAGACTGGAATTAACAACAACAGCATCGTGTCATCATCATGTATTATATTTTTATAACTATTGTTATTTTAATTTCTGTGTAATAAATCCAGTCGGAATACTTTTAATCACTCATAATTTAATTTAGTTTGTATTGATTAGGTCAATTAATTACACATATCGGGAAGTTCATGTAACTGACCTTAAGGCTAAATACAAACCATTAGTTTAGAAAAAAAGTTTAAAAAAACTTAAAATAAATTTCAAACTTTAAAATATTTGATATGATTACTAAATTTTCTTTTATTTTTATATTTTAATAATTCTATAATTTTAATAATTTCTGGAAAATATTCATCTCAATTATTTTAAAATTTT